ATGCCTTTTATATCACGTGCCATGCACCCTCAAGTAACATCTCTAGACATATATATAATTTCAAATTGGCATGTCCAAATTTTATATATTCAATTACAAATGTCAGGTTAAAAAAAAATAAAAATTGACTAGTTAAAATAATTCAATTTTGAGATTAAATATCTTCCAATATGATACAACCAGCAGACCCAAAACGAGAATGTAATAAGTATAAACTGATCGAAAAATTCTTGTATGAAGCGGCTTGATAATAGACAGATCGATTTCGTTGTGAATTTTTTAGGCTGTTGACTTTCGTTTATGTTATTTTTTTTTTATATAGAATATGATATTTTAATTTAAAGTAATTTATATCCAGATCTATAAATTTTATTAGGAGAAGTGTATGCCATGTAATTTCAAGCAGGCATGTTCAATTTGTATTCAATCATATAAATATGAGGGTACAAAATTATTGAATATTTAAAATATCACATAAAATATTCATGTGATACTCTAGTCAATGCTATATGATTTTCTAAATGCAATTTGTTTTTTTTTTTCATTTTTATGGATTTATCCTTAGTAAGTCAATAATTACATTTCAATGTAATCTTCTATTATTGCATGTAAAAANNNAAAAAAAAAAAAAACAGTAATTAAAGAATTTGAAGTCAAACATGATCTTATGCTCAAATTTTTTACTCAAATCCGCACAAACTGAGTGTTCATATGACTAGCCAATTGTAGTAACTATTTATAAAAACGAGTATTTGATAAATAACAATTTGAACATTTTTTTTTTTTTAAAATAAATTAACGTTACGAACTCAAAATGCTACTTGTCAAAACTGATGGTACATTGACCGTCCCACGACATACAAAAGCAAAGTGGGCAGCCACATTTCATGTTGCTGCTGGTGCAGAAGTAGCTGCCTTTTTAGTATTTTGATCAGGCGGCCTGAAGGCATATAAAAAAAAAATCAAACTATGACCAAACAAACGAAGCGAAGCGAAGTTCAGAAAATAAGCTATTTACCAAATAAATTAGTGATCAAATTCAACGGGTCAAACCTCTAAATAACATCGGAATTCTATTAATATAACACCAATTTGCTAATTGAGTCTCATATATAAATCAATTTAGTGTTGCTTAAAGAACATTTTTGAAAGAAAAAAATCAAGTCAAAGTGCAAAAATTGCAACACAACACAACACAACACAACACAACACAACACAACTCAAATTTTTTTGAATTGATGAACTTTGATGTGAGGGTGAATAATGTTATACAGTTGGGTCACGCATTTTGTCAAGCACATAGCGCTCGAGTAAATCAAGCCATATTGCAAGAGACACACACATATATATAATAAGCCACCAAAATCCAAACTCATCAGACAAAGGACTGAGTTGGAATTTTTTCATACAGCAAGCAAAAGCAGCTCACAGTCTCACACACACTGAGCGTGGGCTTGTGGGGTTAGTCTATACACTCATCATTAACTACACTCTCATGGATTTCAGCGTTTATTTATTTATTTCTTTTTTTATTTTTTTTTTTTATTTTTTTTTTATCTTTTTTCAAACTTCACCTTCTTGCCCGCGTTGTGCAGCAAGAATCTGTAACAATCTGTTGATTTGTTTAAGGATTTTCACACGACCCAAGTATCTTCAGCCATAATCTTGATTTGGGTTCAAAAAAATTCTGTTAAA